TTACCGATATGCAATTTTTGTATTTCTGATATGGAAATAAACACAGAGACAAGTCATCACTGCTATAATATATTTATTTTTTAATTTCAAGGTAGAATGCTAAATTTTACATCAATTTACATAAACACTCGCAGTTACAGTGTGAATAAAGAACGAACAGAGAAGTGATTTTTAAGTCGACTCTCGTTAATATAAACTCAGCCGGACCTCGCCAAAATGTTCGTTAATCAGAAGTTTGAATTGGGTGGAGTGCTGGTCCCATTCTTGTGCACATACAAATGCACAGTCGGGACCAAGGCTTTATGTTTGTCATTACCAAAATGTGTATCAACAGTGTTTGTATTAACGAGAGTCAACTGTACATGTACACATTAACAATCATGGTTACAATATACAATGTATATGATTCAATTCATAATCTAAAACGTGCAGTCCACCTGTCAAATTCTCAACACACAAATAATTATTGGTCGTGGCTGTTTTGTTCACAATGGTGTGTTTGTGATGAAACGTGTACTTGTTATCGTGGCTGTGCACACAAATGTTGGCTGGCTGTTGAGACTAGTTGCAAATACAAATGTGACCTGTTCTGTCAAAAGCAGACGCTTCTGGGCAGAGGTTGAAATTAAGATAGGGCCAAAAAACGCTGTGGGAGTGATTTTTTTTTTGATTTTCAAATTTTTGCATATTTGTAATCCTGAACATGTCTAAAATATACTACAAAAGTTTGAAACCCTAATTTAAACTCTAAATATATAGTATTTTGATGATTTGTTAAGGTATATCAGTTAAGAAATAACTGTTTTGTGACATTTGTGGCCGTTTTCTACTTTTCGACACAATGAACTTCAAAATAGCATAACTCTGCCCACGAATGATCGGTTTCAAAAATTGAACCACCTATAAAAGGAAAAAAGAACATATTTAAACAATACGCAAAATTCTCATTTTTGACCTTATGCCCAGAAAAGTCTGATTTTGACAACATGTCACAAATATTCACCATAATGTGACCTGTCTTATTAAGTTTGCTATTTTGCAATACATGGTGGCAGAGCTAAAACTTAAAGATGTGGTCGATTTATGGTTTCTAGGTGAATCTTAATCTCCAAGTCCTGTTCTCCTTTCGCCAATATTTTTCTTCTAGCAAACGTTTTCAAAACCCATCCATTTTTATTCCATTTTAGTTTAGTGGACTGTTCATTCACTGTAACGAAACAGCCAGATTTTTAAATGCCATTTTCTCCAAAATTGTTCATTTAAAGGGAATATACATCATTTGCTTTTGCTGTAATTTTCAGGAATGGATGGAATTGGGGGGTTGGAAATATAAAGCAAATATAGTTACACTGACTTTTTGGAGGTTTTGGTTCGAAAATGCTATAAAAACCAAGAAAAACGATCATTTTCCTGTAGTCTGGTTCCCTGACTCCATATAAGAAGAAACAGAGCAGTTTACATTCATTGGGGAATTGTAAGGTCAGGGAACCAGTCTAGCTGGCTCGTACCCATTCATAGGTTTGTAATCGATTGCAAACAAGTGCAATGGTCAATTGGGGCCAGTATTTGAAAAAAAAGCCAATTGTTTCCAACGCTGATCGGCCGATCAGCGTTGGAAATTGATACAAAAATACCACTTTTCTTGAAAATGACAGTATACCATGTGCCATAATTTTACAGGATGCTTTAGACTGTCATTTACCAACATCCTATTAAGGTATTTCGCAAAAACTTGGTAGTTTTATTTTTCGATGTTTGCAAATGTTGTATATTCCCTTTAATCTCTAAGTCCTGTTCTCCCTTTCGCCAATATTTTTCTTCTAGCAAACGTTTTCAAAACCCATCCATTTTTATTCCATTTTAGTTTAGTGGACTGTTCATTCAATGTAACGAAACAGCCAGATTTTTAAATGCCATTTTCTCAAAAATTGTGTTACAATTTCATTTAAAGGGAATATACATCATTTGCTTTTGCTGTAATTTTCAGGAATGGATGGTATTGGGGGGTTGGAAATATATAGGAAATACAGTTACACTGCCTTTTTTGAAGTTTTGTGTTCGAAAATGCTGGAAAAAAAAAAAGAAAAACAAAAATGTTCAAGTAGTCTGGTTCCTTGACTCCACTAAAGATAAAATGGATCAATTTATAGATGCAGGAAAATTGTAAGGTAAGGGAACCAGTCCAGCTGGCCTGCACCCGTTTATGAACATGTAACCAATAGCAAACAAAATTTGGACTGAAAAAAGTGTAAAGTTGGAGTAGTTGAAAAATAGTTAGGTTTTTCCAATGGTGGTCGGCCGACCACCATTGGAAATGTATACAAAAATACCATTTTCTTGAAAATGACTTCACACCAGGTGCCATAATTTAACAGGATGCTTTAGACTGTCATTTACCAACATCCTAGTAAGGTATTTCGTAAAAACTTGGTAGTTTTATTTTTTGATGTTTGCAAATGTTGTATATTCCCTTTAAGTTGGCGGTCTATATTTCCATTACTGAACCCAGTACCCCCGAATGATGGATACCATTGGAAAGCTCTCGTTCTGCAGAATCCAGAAATATAAATATCTTACTTTTTAAAAAGGGTCGGACTTGAAGCTTAGTTTGTAATGACTGGTCACATATGTGACCTGTTCTGTCAAAATCAGACTTTTCTGGGCATAAGGTCAAAAATGAGATTTTTGCATATTGCTAAAATATGTTTTTTTTCCTTTTAATAGGTGGTTTAAGTTTTGAAACCAGTCATTCCTGCGCAAAGTTATGCCATTTTGAAGTTCATTGGGTCGAAAAGTAGAAAACAGAGAAAATGGACACGAACATCACAAAACAGACATTTCTTTAACTGATATACCTTAACAAATCATCAAAAATACTATAATTAGAGATCAAATTAGGGTTTCAAACTTTTATAGTATATTTTAGACATGCTCAGGATTACAAATATGCAAATATTAGAAAATGGAAAAAAATCACCCCCACAGCGTTTTTTGGCCCTATCTTAATTTCAACCTCTGCCCA